ATCATCTTGCAGAAAACATCCTTCTCTTCTATCATAAAAACAATTTATGTCTATAAAGGGTGTTCAGTACACAGTATGAATTTCTTCATAGCCGCGAGACCTGCACCAACTTATTTACATTCCATAGTTATTACTTTCTGGAGGAAAGCAATAATTCAATATCTCGTATAGCTTTTGATGTCTTTTCCAGAACAGCCTGGATATTAATTTCAGTGGCTTTTTCTGGCAGACAGCTTTCATCAGGACCCGGCTCTTCGCTGAGATGAGTAGAACCTTTGCGGGCCATTAAGCTGCTATTCTCCAGTAAAACTGGGATTGATTGGTCAAGGAAATGTAAATCTAGCAATGAATCAATCAGGTATTCTGGCTGCAGTTAATTAAAAACTACTTTTGATAAGGATGAAATAAGTTGCATTATAATCAATTAAAATGTAAACAACAAAACAAAAATGGATTAAATTGCATGTCAATGACTAAATGAACAGTTTGCAACTCACTCTTGAAATTAGACTAGGAATACAAAGTGTTTGATTTATAGGCTCACCATGGCCTAGGCAACCTTCGGCACTGCAGATGTTTTGGACTACATCTCCCATGATGCTTTGCCAGCATTATGTGTGTAAAAGCATTATGGGGGATGTAGTCCACAACATCTGGAGTGCCCAAGGTTGCCTATCCCTGGCCTAGGGCAATAAGTGCTGTAACTGTGAACAGGAAATATTGGTTTATTCCCAAAACTAGACAATTGTCAAGATTAAATGCAAAGTATACCCAAAATAAATTTATTTAAATTATTTTTATTCTTTTCCGTTCTTCACAATTTCCAGTTAGGAAAAAAAAACTTGTATAGTTTTCCCATGTCTAACAATCAACAATTAATTAAGAGAATATTTTTGCTTTCTATTGTACATTAGCTTTCTTGGACCCAAGCGGCAACCATATATGGTCACATCTAGCAGTATTATCCAGAAATTCTGAACAGAAAGGGTTTATTGGTGATGTAGTTTTTGTGAGTTTGTGGTATATTATCAGAATTGCAATGAAAAGCTTCAGCAGCATAAGGATTGGGTAAGCTACTGCTTGGTGTGGTACGAGTCCAATATAAATGATGACGGGATATGTAGCACATAACAGGTGGGTGAACTGCAGGTAGGAGATTTAGCTTTCAAAACAACATATATTCAAACTATGACTTGTTGTTTCAGATGCAAACTAGTTGCTTAGGCGGGTGCCTTTGAAAGATGACTAATAGTGTAGGTTGAAGGAGTAATGGGGAATAATTTCTTTACTGTGCAGTGGGTATCTATATATAGACCGAAACTTGTTTAGTTTTTAATACAATAAACAAGCAAAATTGCATTTTAATAGGATACATTGAAACCTCTGAATTTTCTGAATTTCAGCTCCTACGGACCTTAGGAAACAAAATGTAGACACAAAGTGATGAACACGTGCACATACAATACTTCAAATGTTATATATCTGGTTGGGAGCATTTTTTATTCACTTTTTGTTAATGTTTTGAGGCAAAACACAAGAAAATAAAGACATAAAAAGTGTAACGACACAATCCAGACAGTGTTATTCACCAATGTGTAAATTGAGAGAACGTCAAAGTAAATTTCAAAGTTTGCGCCACAATGAAAATGTTTCCAATGTGGCTATTTTGGTGTAAAACATAAGATTCACTTTGAATTCCCCAGTTTATTAAGAGGATCCTTGAAAGAATGAAGACTACATGCATATTACCGAATCTAAAGTAAACAAATAAATAAAAAC